GATTAGGTTCTCATTGGGGAAAAAAAATGAGACAATATCAACTCCTCATTCCGAAACATGAAGAAATGTGTGAACGAATCCACCTACGTGTGTATTCTTTGCCCTTAAGTTCAAATTTAAGCTTTTCCAAGACATCCTTACGCAGAAATACGTTGTTACCGTGATACCAGCGTTTGTGTTCTAACGAGTGTCCCACTCAGACATTACTGTCACCGAACGCTAAACGAGAACTTTGTTATTAAACCTTTTCCGTTTTCGATAGAGAGAGCGATGCTGGGTGTCTGGGAATGGGTAGGGTTGATCAGAGAAGGGGATGAACTGATGGAGCAGATATGTCCGGCATTGTTTGACTCGCCTGTTCTCAAAAAGATTCCGAAATGAGTGTATTCCCAGCGTTTACTATTTCCACGAAGGGATTTTTTTTTGTCACATAAAATAGGGTCTTAGGATCTAATCGAAAGATAATTGCGTCATGCTGTAATCAATAAGTGCGCCTTTTAAAATGAAAGGTCACAAACTGTACATTTTAAAAGCATGGCAATACCACGGTTGACACCCTAAAGACTCTGTACAGGACAATTTCGACAGTGTCTATGTTTTACTCAAGCAGTTGCAATATCCAAGCACAAACATACTACAGGGATTTTTTTATATAATACAATTTTGGGAACATCCCGTGTGTGTTAGGAAATGTGCAGATTGGAAACCCTGCACCTCTCGTTGGTTAGGAAATAACGATGTAATTGTGCGCGCACAAACTTTCCTCTCCAGTTCCCGGTGATTTTCATGTCTTTTGCATCCATTTATAACCAATGTACCAGACTAGAGCCGGCTGCCTCTACAATCGAACCAGCTCCCTCAGGAAATTTGAAAACAAATCTCAGTCGAATCAATTTATAAGATGCAGAATTATGAGTAAAGTGCAAACCGGTTGTGTATTTTTTTATGATGATTTCTTATATAAGTACCAGAAAATTGACGTTATTGTTTGGATCTAAAATAAATTCAGTGCAATTCTTCCCAGACAATGAGGCTTGCAAACGTCCGTGTTTATGTTTTGTCTAACTTGGTCTGGTCGGAACAGTTTGGGGTTCCAGTCGAGATTCGATGTAACAATACCAAGGGAAGGAAAAACAAGACGTGTACTCAACGATCACAGACAAAATTAGTCGACCCTTCGTTTAATTTGGACAAAGACCTCGACTTTAAATTGTGGACACTATTTAAACAAAGGGTTAAAATACGTAACTTCCAACTCATTGAAGAAACCCAATAATACAGAATTCTATAAGGGAAGAATGGGGTGATTTTTCTATCTTGTTGGAGATGTTGCAATGGCAGTGTGTGAAAGTATTTTTGTGAACCAGTGAGTAAACTATGTGTTGCAATAAAACAGTCATATCAGCCAACGTAGTTTACATATTTATTTGCATTACATATTTGCATCTTTAATCTCGACTTCAGCAAAGCAAAGTCATTCTGTCTTGGGAACAGTGACAGCTGTTTATAAAGTTGAAGTTTTGATTTTGCATTCAGAGAGGAATCGCTGCTCTCTACGGTTATGATCGTTTTTTCTGATAACGCTCTATCCGTAGGTCGCTTTCTTTCTAATGAGTCTTCAGAATCCCAATTATGAAGAACTGAGGTGAAATAAACATAGGGCTATAAACTTGGCTTTGTCAAAAAAAAACGCAATCTCAGATGTCCCGAAACGTGGTGTCATTATCAGGAATAGAGATTATGCTGTGACATTGTGACGGATCTCAAATGAATCCAGTCTACCTCGTGTTTGTACCAATTATACCTGCATCTAGCAAGAAAAAATGGATTGGAGCATTTAATGCGCATTTCTACATTTCCACAAATACCCCAACTGTTTCCTAATAACGTGCATCTCTACACAAAACAAGAGGCAATATAGGTATTGTCATTAGCGCAACGGGTTGCTGTAGATTGCTGCTTGTAATTAACCAATGATGTTTTGTTCGAAAATAACGTCTGTGAGGTGTGTTATTTCTTCTCTTGCGTCTTTTGTTGATTGATTTCAGAAACAATTGAGTCATTTTGTTGTAAATCCCTGCAAATGCTAGCTGGGCTCGGGGGATAGCTGTCGACGACTGCGAAGCTAATTTTGCTTTTCTTTGTCTAATTATTGTAGCGCTCATGGAGGAAACTGCCTGCAGGACTGCAGCGGTAAACTGACACCGAGTCTCTGTGTGTGGTACAGGCAAGGTTTGATGAAAACGGCCTGCTTCCACTCACGTCAAAGCTAGTTACCCAGAACAATACCCCAATACAAGCAGGACTCATCCAACACAAATTTACCCATTCTCTCTCTCTCTCTCCCTCTGTGGCCACCTTTTACGTCTCTCTCATTTCGTCGTCCTTTCGCTCGTTCGTTCTCTCCACTTCATCATTGCTCGAGGGTTTAGCCATTCCATTTATTTCGCAAAGAAAGGCAAACTTTTTTTTCAAGGGAAGGAACTATTTGAACCTCTAGCTTTAGTTTGGTGATCTTTGCGAGATGTGTGACATGGTGCTTAAAAAAAACGTTCTTTAGAACTAATTATTGCAATTTAATCTTATTATGTATAATTATCTAATTGTGTTCATAGCACCATTTTAGAAAAAAATCGCAACGAGTAAACATTCATTTAGAACTTTACATATTTTAACCTCCAGCAGTAATACAATGAATTGCATTCTTGTATTTGTAAGATAAATGGAAACGACTGACTTCTGCATTTTTGTAAACAAATTTATCCCGTTTAAATTATTCTGGTCATCCTTCTATTAAACAAAGTTAACCCTGATCCAGGCGGCACACACGAATGTGTGTGCAAAGCAACATTTTGTCGAAAATTTTGAAATTAAAATAAACAAGCAATAATTTTTTCATTAGTTCCAGATAATGCATTTTTAATCATTGAACAGAGGGCAGACTGTGTGGCTTTGTGTATAAAGTTATGAATGTGCCGGTGTCTTTGAATGTATGTTGTGAGTTAGTGTGATTCGGAAGTGCATGTGTATGTCTAAGTGTAAGTATGTAGGTGCTGTGTGCATCGGTGGTTGCTTTGTCAATATGTTCGAGGACGACATATGTACGTGTCTAAGGATGATGTCAAGAACCAGTGAAACGTGCACACTATTGCCTGTCAAATACTAGTTACTCAGAACAATATCCCAGACGTGTAGGATTCATCTAACACAAATTTGCCCACTCTCTCTCTCTCCCTATCTCTGTCTGTCTGTCTGTCTCTCTCTCTATCTATCTCTGTCTCTCTCTCTCTCATTAGCTTCTCCAAACCAGCTCCTCAAGAGCAAAAAAAAACTGCAAACCCAAACCATAGTGCAATGTGAGTAGTTTTAAAGGCAAATAACTGAAAAATCTATCTTTTATGCTATTTCCTTTAAAATATATTCGAAAACTTTATGCCGAAATTCCACCGTTCTTAAAGAGATAGACAAAGTAGTTGTTTTCCCTTGCTACAGGTCCAGAATTAGGGAAATCGGTCCCAAAATGAAAAGCCAGCTGTTTAGAACTGAGATGATGGGGAACGTCTTAACTCAAAACCTTTGGAATTCTCTATCCCGAAGGCTGAGGAAGCTGTAGTTGAAGACAAAGGTGGATTTGGATTTATAGAGGAATAGGTGAGAATACGGCTTGCAGAGAGCTGATCACCCATGATCTGGAATGCAGGCTCAAGAGACTGAGCAACCTTCTCCTGCTCCTGTGTTTTGTCAAGATGCTACAAAATTGAATTTCAGTGTTAAAAGTGTAAAGCTTTCAGTGAAATTCGGCTCCACAGCACAAATTCCGGGCCGTCAGCAGAATAAATAGTGTGGGCAGAATGGATGCTAAATGCGACTAAATAAGTCAAACCTGTGTGTGTGTGTGTGTGGGGGGGGGGGGGTAGTTGGACAAAGTTGAAGAGGGAATGACAGGGAAGGTTTTCTCACTTTGTCGGCGATTCTAATGAAGCTGCAGGATGTACTTCAAACAGGATTTTGGAGATATTTTGATAAGCTTGGACGTACAGCCGGTTAAAACAAAAGAGTATATTTTTCCCCTGTCCCTCTGTCTCGCTGACATGTGGCACGCCTGATACGAATTTCTGAATAAGGTTGATTAATGAAGGAATTGTTCGGATCGAAAGGCAAAAATATGGTTACATCATTTTATTTTACACCTTCAGTCCGGGATGGTTGTTAGGGTCCTTTAAAAGAAAAGTCGGAGGGAGTGCGAATTAAGGTTTGAGCCCCCCCCCTCCCCCCGAAGGGAAGAGAGTGAGGGGCTCGGGAGAGAGGTTTACTCACTGATAGGTGGCCACGTTTTCTTTGGCTTCGTCAGTCAGTGCGGGAAGCAAAGAGAGAGGGGGGGGGAGGGGAGAGAGAGAGAGCGACCTCTCGGCGCTTCCTCTTAAAGGGGTCTGCGTTGGGATAGCCACCAGGTGGAGGATGGAGTAGCGATCTCGGAGCCACTGACCTGCTGCCAGAAATCCGAGGGAAACTATTTTTTTAACACGATTTCCTACAGGGGGTGGGGGTTGGGGGGGTGTAGAAACACAGGCGAGCGTCGGCAGATGAAGAGAAGCCGCCACCTCAAAGGAGAGGCCTGTGCGGGAGAATGCAGGCAGACCCCGATTCTTACAGAGTCACTGAGCTCTGCGGTAGACTCGGGATCGAGGAGCGAGGCTCCGAGCAATGAAGCGACTGTCTAAAGTCGATTGAATAGGACTCTTGTGTTTTCCAGTGGATTAAATATCCCGTGCTCCAGTGAAGCTAAATAGGGCGTAGCGTCTACAGGGATCATTATTCGAGAGAGAGAGTAAAAAAAAACACAACGTTTGTCTTCTTCATTCACCCCCCC